ATGATTTTAGATTCATTTCTACCGATTTTTTCAAGTTTCGCATTTGTATATTATTATAAAAGTTGCCTATGCAGGTCCACGTCGTCGTATTTTTAACGGTTTTTTATTTTTTGAAATTTGCCAAAATCGTTCAAATGGTGGAGGGTATTCAAGGTTCGGAAAGAAAATAGTGTCGAAAGTGGTGAACTGCCGAATTTGGTTTTCTCCGATGGAAAAACATTCATTGTCCAGCAGTTTGTAAACAAACAAAATTATCATGTTTATTTGCTAAAGAGGTCAGCTAAAAATGTGCACCTTCGGTTGGCCACCTGAACTCAAGCGCCGGCAATGGTGATGTTGTTGGCCGACATAAAAGCTGACGGTCGCTCTCCGCTCGTATTAATCAACCGTGACATCAGAATAAATGCCGAATATTATCGCGAAAATATTCTGGTGGGTGTATCAAAGCCTTGGGCACACAAACATTTTGGCCGCAAACCTTTGACATTCCAACGGGACTCAGCACCATCACACTCAGCACGCGCCAACTAAGAATGGTTACAAAATGAGGTTCCTCGCTTCACCACCAAAATCTCCGGATACCAAACCGTTGGACTATTGTGTCTGGAGTATTTTGGAAGCAAGGTTGTCACTAAAATATACCAAAGTGTCGATCGCCTCAAGCAAGCGCTTCGCCGGGAATGGGCCAAAATACCGCAGAGCAACATTCAGTGCCAAAGGCGACCAATTCGAACAAATCTAAACTTATTCTAAAATTTGATGCTATTTCCGACATATTTTGCTTTAATTCAATAGAATTAAGAAAAGAGTAACAATTATGGCGTTTGACTTTGTTGCAGTTTTTTATCTCCGATTTTCATAGAATTTTCAATATTTGTTTGTAGGCTAAACTGGGTTGTTTCTGCTAAAATACATCTCATTTGCTGTACAATGTAAGGGGCCTATTGCAGAATCAGGTTGGATTATCATCAATTTCAATAGGGTTCATCCTTGGGTCAGAAAATCATCTGTGCAATAGTTTACCTCAATTAAACAAAATAAAAAAAAAAAAAATATGACTTGTGCTTTGTTAACAAATGTACCTGGGCATATGGACGGACTAACATGCTTAACCGATTCGGAATGTGATTCTATGTAGATGACCAGAAGGGGCAATGGGTCTGTCACATTCCTATCTGCATTTTACAAATAAATGCACAAAGATGTAATATCCTGTACCATAGTGTAGCTTAGTGTATAAATACTTATCTCATATAATGAGTGGCCATTCAGTCCATAACATTTGTATACCCTTCACCATACTACGGGAGTATATATAATAATTTACATTTTGTGATCAGAGTAAAATTCTAAGAACGATTTATTCCTTTGTGTCCGTCCTTCCTTCTGTCTTTCTGTTGTAATCAAGCTTGAGTCAAAATTAATTAAGATAGGGAGCCAAAGTATTGTACAGATTTGTCTTTTGACTGCACGTAGGTCAAGTTCGAAATTGGGCTATATCGGCCAACGATATCGTATAGCCCCCATATAACGGTACCGCCAATATTCCGTATATTGATGATTGTAGCCAAATTCTTCAATGGAATTGTCTACCCAAGGATTTCCTTCTGACCCTCCAGAAGAGAATTGTTTACATCGGACCACGTTTTAGTATAGCACCCATATAACGGTACCCTCAGATATTCGGTATTCAAATATGGTTCTAATGACGTTATACCCCGGAGTTGTTTCAAATATCGTATATGAAGAATCGGAACTAGGGATCGGTACTACAGCCTTCGTATTTTTCGACGGATTTTTTTTTTTTAATTTTTCATGTTCCTTCCAAAAGGTTGAGGGTATAAAAAGCTGCTGTTTTACTTGTTCATAGTCAAAAATCAAAATATATATAAAAGGCTGAGATTATACTTTTGTCGCCTAAACCGACTAACACTTTTTAACTTGCATAATTTTAAATTAACTTCGGCCCTTGACATTTGACCACCTATTATTAAAAAATTGATCATCGTTATTGAATCTTAGAATGCTCTAAGCTCTGTAGTGTAAATTGGATAGATTTTGGTTGAGTTTGAGTTTTTCAATTAATTTTGTTATTTTAGTTCTATATTTATACCCTACAACACTATGTGTTGGGGGTATTATAAGTTTGATTGGCTCAAAAATTATGTAACACCTCGAAATATTGGTTTCCCACATAGGAAAGTATATATGGATCTTCCTAGCTCGCCGAGCTGAGTCGATCTAGCTATGTATGTCCGTCCGTCCGTCTGTCCGTCTGTCCATGTTAATTTGTAATCACTCTACAGGTCGCAATTATGGCCCGATCTTCACGAAATTTAGAATGGAGGTGGGGATAGAGTCAGAATAGAACCCTATTTCTTTTAGGGATGATAGCCAAATGTTTAGGGGTTGAAATGGACCAAATACTGAAAAAATGTCGGATTTTGCAGTAGCTATACAGGTCGCAATTATAGATCAATCGACGCGGAATTTCGCATGTAGCTAGAGTTTAGGGCGGGGAAGAAGCCTACCAATTTGGGTGGTCATCGGATAATATATAGCGGCTAAAATAAACCATATCTTTTTTGTTGAAAAAATTCAAAATTCTTCATTAAACCGCGAATATTTTAAATCCTGGCGAAATCACAAAGCCATGTCAAGGTTACTTCTGATCTTTACTTTGATGTTAACATCCAACAAATCGGATATATAGCAAAATATGTGCGATATATATGTCTATCAAAGAAGATATGCTTAAAAGATCTCTTGTATGTCGAGAACGGCTGAACTGATTTCGACAGTTCTCATTAATTCAGAATGGCCTCTTGGCAGGAAAGAAAAAACGACTAAAAAAATTGCATAAAAATATCTCTCTAAAGCTGAAAATATTGATTTTGTAACATTTTCTCATATTTTTTCAATTTTGTCATATTTTTGGCATATTTTCATTTTGAATTAAACAATTGGTAATATTTCTACAGCTAACAAAACTAAGTAGTTGAGATATCAGGATATCTTATACAGATTGCATTTATGGCCCGATTCTTACGAAATTTTGCATGGGGATAAGATGAGGGTCAGAATAGAAGCCTACTCTTTTTGGAGATGATCGCCATATATTTAGGGGTTGAAATGGACCAAAAAACTGCAAAATTATCAGCAGGTCTTAGTTACCGCCCGATCCTCACGCACATTTGAATGGGGGTTACGGACATTGCAAAAGCCAAGCAGTTTTGGATGGCCATCCAAAAATATTCAATGTGTGAAATAGTTTGCCAACTTTTGTAGACAAAATACGAAAATGTCCATTCCAGTGACTTTTTGGAGAATTCACAAATACAGGAAAGACGCACTTCTGACTATTTCGTTAACGCTGGTTTCGTTGAAGAATATAGTCAAATGTCTGTATCTCATATAGATGCGTTTCAGTCAAAATCCAATAATAAATGTTAATCTTTGCCACTTCTGAGAGATTATAGGTCTTTGGGAAATATTGGTTCCATATCTAGGAAGACCATTTCGTGCAACATCTACCAATAAATTGGAAATGAGCAAATTCGTTTAAGTTGCTATTATTCGAAAATTAGAGAACGAAACCTGATGGTTTTCTTTTATAATTTGTCACAATATCTTGTGGAATTCTTTCGAGTATCTCGTCTATATAAACAGTATCGTTTATTATAGTGTTGTAGGGTTTTCAACGGTCGGCCCCGCTCGACTGTAGCCTTTGCTTACTTGTTTTTCTATATTTTTGTTTGTTTTCATAAAAAAAAAAACAGTAAAAGAAGTCTTAAGGTCGGGCGGGGCCGACTTTATGATACCCTACACCACTTTGCTAATTACGTATAGCTCCAATAACAAATAAAAGTTTTTTATGGGAGAATTCAATCTTAAAACGATTATAAATATAATTTAAAGTTCAAAAGACTAAATATGCCGGAGCATTTGTATCTTTTAAATTCGGACTTGTATTACCCATTTGATATATATGGTAGCTATATCCAAATCTGAACCGATCTTGATAAAATTTGGCAAAAATATTTCTGAGCTGTATTTGATATATTTTGTGAATATCGTTGTTACGGAGTGCATATTACTGTGGGTAACAAATACAGCAAATCGGATGAACAATATATATTAGAGCTATAACTATATCTGAACCGATCTTCACCAAATTTTAGAAGCTAGTATTTCTAAACTCAATTCGGTCGTAAATGCCAAATTTCATTCCATCTGGGCAAATATTAGACGTTTAGTGCACAATAAAAGGTAAATCGGACGAAGTTATATATGGGAGATATATCCAAATCCGAACCGATCTCAATAAAATTTAGCAAATGTATTTCTGAGCTGCATTTGATATATTTCCCCATATATTGTTGTTACAGAGTGAAGGACTAAAATAACAAATCGGATGAACAATATATATTGGAGCTATAGCTATATCAGAACCGATTTCAAATTTGACATACTTATATTTGGTTGTATGTGCAAAATTCAATACTATTCGGGCTGATATTACACGTTTGGTACACAATAAAAGGCAAATCGGACGAAGATGTATATTGAAGCTTTATCTAAATCTTTACCGATTATCTCCAATTTCAATAGGGTTCGTCCTTGGGCCAAGCAAATGATTTGTGCAAACTTTCATCTGGATTGCGTAATAAATGCGAACTGTAATTTGTTCACAAAAATACATGGACAAACGGACGGACGGACATTTATTCATGTCCGACTCAGAATGTGATTTTATGCAGATCATCAAAAGGAACTATGGGTATATCTCGTTTGCTTTTGCCTGTTACAAACAAATGCACAAAGACATAATATCCTGACCACCTTGTGGTGTAGGGTATAAAAAAGTCACTTGTTTTTGTATTTTCTTGTGATTTTATTTATTATCTAATTTGCATATCCCCCACGAACATGAGTCACGGCTAACTCAATGAAAGCTTTGCTAATTTGAATAAGAAAATAGTAGCAAATCACACACTTACATCTTTACTCCAATGGACCACATAGGGTATGGGCAGATCATAGGGAAAATCTATGTAACAATTGAAGACCACATACGAGCCGACCTTGGCCTCCAGATGTGTTGTTTTCTGGCGATCGTGGCGTGCACCCGTGCATACGGCCACACAGGATACGCTCATTAAAAGCACAAATGTTGATGAGAAAAAAGCTGCTAGAAATCCAAAAGCATTATGGTATAATATCGGTTTACGGCGCTGTGGTTGTAGTTGTAGCAGGTTTTGTTGCTGTTGTTGTTGTTGTTGTCGTTGCTCTTGTTTCATGATGACGAGACAATACTGCGACTGTCGTTGTTGTTGTTCTTGGGCTAGGAGGTGGTGGGTATGGGTTTGGGTGGGCGACGGAGGTGGTGAAGAAGCTACTGTTGCCACGACGACCTTTGCTAGCTTAGTTTACTTGCGGTTTATTTTAACGACGTTGATGATAATGATAATTGCAACGATTTCAATGTTCTTTTTTTTCTGCCAGCGATGATTTTTCTTTTGAGTTTTTTCTTTTTGTCTTTTTTTCTTGGAGGGATGTTTTCCACTAGATTTCCTTTGCGTTTTCCTTTACTTAAAGTTTGTGTGTGTGTTTGTTTTTTTTAATATGAAACTCAGCTCTGCCTTAACTTCAATTAAATTAAATGTTTTGTTGTTGTTGTTATTTTTGTCAGTTTTCAATTCGGATGTTTGTTTTCGTTTATTTCACAGCGTTTCTCCACTATTGAATGAAATTCCGTTTAATAGCTGCTATCTGGGCCCGAGGAATTTGCTGGGTATTTGTAGAAATGATTTGGATTTATTTTTTGGGGGGAAAATTAAATTAATTTAATAACGCTTAAATTAATAATGTTGCTAAAAGCTGTTTTGTGTAATTATGATAAAGAACGCTTGATTAATTAACAAAAAAATTCTTGTGCTCGTTAAACCGAAAAAAGATGGTGGTTGGTGGTCAGCTCTGAAATATGCAAAGCTATTAAATGGGTATTTTGTATCTTTGGGATTTTCGGGATTTTTTTGTTATATTTTTTCTTTGTTGTTAATGAATTAAATTATTTTTCCACAAAATTCCTTTTTTTTGTTTTTGATAGATTACTTTTAATCACGCCAAGAATTCGTTCAAAGACCGGACACAGACTAAAAAGAAATGCCCGAGATAATCAGGTCAATTGCAAGCTATTCGTTTGTTTGTCGTTTGCTTAATGGCATGCGTTTGACTTTCTCAAATCTCGTTGAGTTAAGCTAGACTTTTGCACTCGCTTGGGGATAATGGGCTTGTTTTTTTTTCTGATTTTTCAAGAAAAAGCTTTTGTCACTTTTGTTTGTATTTTTTTTTTTTGCTTTTTTGGCAAAGTGAGAAATTTTTGCTTTTTTTCAAAATTTCCACTTGAATTTTCTCCGTGCTTGGCGTTTTTTCTCTTCAGAACGTACCGATCGCTTTGATAACTAAACCGCAACTAAACTAAAATCTAACTTTAAACCATCCACCATTGTAGTCCAGCAAGCCAAACAGTCAACCAGCCAGCCAGTCAGCCATCCAATCAGCCAGTATTCGTTTCGTTTGTTTGTAATGATTATGGTGATGATGATGATCATGATCATGATCATAGCTATCATATAAAGATGATGATCATTAAAATGAATTTTAAAATAATGAGTGTTGTAATGATTATGTTTATGGGTTTCTGGAAAATGTAATTGTTTTTTGGGAAATAATAAAAAGTGGATTTTTTAAAGGAAATGCAGCAATATTTTGCGATCATCGAACTTTTGTAATCATCTAGGGTCGGTGTCGTACTTAAGTGGTCTGTGGAAATCACTCTAGCTTCCGAACGAAATGAAGTAGGTTGATACAATTTTACTCAAATGTGTGTTATATCTGCAGGACTCTTTGTATTGAAAATGGACCATGTAGGTTCACGTCTTCATAAAGCCCCCATATAACGGCACCTCCTGATATTGGGTATTTTGATGATTTTAGCGACATTATTTACCGAAATTGTTTCAAAATTGGTATTTAAAATTCGTAATAGAAACTGCAGGATAAAACAGATAATGAGCCATGTAGGTCCTCGTCTTCGTATAGCCTCCATATAAAGGTACCTCCCGATATTGGGAATTTTGCTGATTTTAGAGACATTATTTATCGGTACTATTTCAAATTGAGTATTTGAAGATCGTAATGAATACTACAGCCTATGACAGAAAATTGTCTGTGCAGGTCCATGTCTTCGTATATGACCCATATAACGGCACCCCCCGATATTCGGTATTTTGATAATTTTAGCGACATTATTTACCGGAATTGTTTCAAATTTTGCATTTGAAGTTCGTAAGGGATACTACAGCCTGTGACAGTAAATTGTCTGTGCAGGTTCACGTTTTATAACCCCATGGTACATCCCTATATTCGGTATTTTGATGATTTTAGCTACATTATAAACAGATATTTTTTCAAGTTTCGCATTTGAGTATTTTAATGGCCTAGGCAGGTCCACGTTGTCGTTTAGACCCTAATATATGGCTACATTCGGTATTTTTAAGATTTTATTTTTTTTGAAAATTGCCAAATTTTTTCCAAATGGTGGAGGGTATTCAAAGTTAGGCCCAGCTTTTTTACTTGTTGACTCTTAGAGATATAGGTTAATTTTGGTCAGATTTTCGATATCTACTCAAGACGTCCGTGTAAAGTCGATAAATTCTCAAGAGTTTTCATTTACAACCGGTTAAAGTCGATAAATTTGCAAGAGTTTCCAATTACACTGTGCTACAAAATGCCATTATTTTAAACCAATTACAAGAAAAATCAAGTAGTAAAGCTGAACGTAAAGCTTAACAAGTCAAATAGTATCAGTCGGTTTTGCCGACAGATGTATACCCCCAGCATTGTTTTATGATAATTTAAACTCTTGACTCTTTGTGGGTGAGGTTCCGAAGCAGTTGGCCTTTCAAAATTTTGAATTTTCATGACGAAACGCGAAATTAACATCCGATTCCATTTAGACTTGGCACCTCTCAATATTTCCATAAACATATGATCTTTTATAAAGATCGGTACATTCTTTTTGTTACCTCCCCCACAAAGGGTTAAAATTTTGAATAACCAAAACGATCATAAAATCCGATATAAGCATCGGGTTCTCTTCAAATTACACACATCACAATATTTTTATTAGCCAAAGGTCTAGTGTGAATCGGTTCACTCCTTCTGTTACCTCCACTACAAAGGTTCAAAATTTTGAGTATCCATGAAACTTATAAAACGCGAAAAAAACGTCAGATTCCATTTACTTGATCCATCTCAATATTTCCATCAACACAAGATCTGTTATAAAGATGGTAGATATTGGATCATTCCATTTGGTACCTCCCCCTTATAGGGTTGCAGATTTTGAAAAAAAAACGCTCAAAGAAACCGAAATAAGCATCCAGAAACCGAAGAAGCAACCCCAACCCCTTCTGGTACCTTACGCACAAAGGGTCGCTATTTCCAATACTTATATCCATCATAACTTGCGAAGTCGTTGATTCTTGACAACTTGCTAAATCTAAATATTTCTCTTAATCTATCAGAATTTGTGATTTCGCATAAAAGTGAATATAAATTTTCGATTTCCTTCAAATTTTGCACATACCAATTTTTATACCCTACAACACTATGTGTTGGGTGTATTATATGTTTGATTGGGCCAAAAAGTATGTAACACATCGAAATATTGGTTTCCCATATAGGAAAGGATATATGGATCTTCCTATCTCGCCGAGCTGAGTCGATCTAGCTATGTATGTCCGTCCGTCCGTCTGTCCATGTTTATTTGTAATCACTCTAGAGGTCGCAATTATGGCCCGGTCTTCTAATTTAGAAATTTAGAATGGAGGTGGGGCTAGGGCTAGAGTAGAAGCCTATTGCTTTCGGAGATAATCGCATAATATATATGGATCAATAACTGAACAATTTCCTGATTTTGCAGTTGCTCTTCAGGTCGCAAAAACTAACAGCACGACAGAGTGCGTAAATATTGGGCAAATATTCCTGCTCAAAATTCTAAGGGTAGTATCTGGGCAATGCTCTATGACAATAATTCAAAAGCGAAATCTTCCAAAATAAATATGGACATAAGAGGGCTTCTAACACATCGTAGGGTATCACATGGGCGACCCCGCACGACTACAGCCTTTGCTTACTTGTTTCAAAATAAGTTGAAATTCTTTCAAACGGAATATACCCGTGGAAAGTTAGTCGAAGATCTACTTTTTTATTGAAAAAATGTGTTCAGCGACGAAACTCACTTTTGATCAATCGGTACGTAAACAAGAATATTTGTTGATTTTGAAGTGAAGATCACACATTTAAAAACCTACCTAAGTATCCAGAAAAAAGTTACAGTTTATGAAGTTTATGGCTATTGGCATTATACGACCATACTTCTTGAAATATGCGGCGAATCGTAAGGATACTGTGAATGATAAGCACTAACCGTGAGATGATATCCATTTTTTTGACACATTGCAGGATCTTGACTTATATGAAATGTGATTTCAACAGGACGGTGCCACAGAGCATGCTTAACAATGAACTTATTTAAATGCGGCGAGTTCGGTGAAGATTTTATTTTACTTTCGGTACCTGTCAGTTGGCCGCCTAGATCGTTCGATTTAAACCGTAAAGGTAAGGGGGCTATGGTAAAGCTCATGTCTGTACAGACGAGCCTCCTTAAATAATTGCATTGTACTAAGCGTTTGGACCATTTCTACTTACAGGGTGAGATGAAAAAACTGCAAACAACTTCAGACTGCTGTCATTTCTAAGCCATTCGTCCGAAAAACATTCGTTGTCCTACAGTTTGTAAACAAACAAAATGATCGTGTTTACTTTCCGAAGGTGCCAGCTGAAAATGTGCACCTTCGGTTGGCCGCCAGAACTCAAGCGACGGCCTTGGTGATGGTGTGGGCCGCCATAACAGCCAATGGGCGCTATCTGTTCGTATTAATCGACCGTGGCATCACGGAGTTAGGATGGAATCCCGAAATTTTTTATTAACGTATTTGTTTTGTATTTGTGGTTAAGATGTGGAGGTAGTTTTGGAAATGCGTCCGGTACAAAAACTACTATCTGTACAAAAACTACTTAATAATACTAAATTTGGTATTGGGTGAAGAAATAAGGCTGGAATTCTGATATTTTTTATTTCGCTCTCGGATGTTGTCAGCAGTTAAAATATGGAGGTAGTTTTGGAAATGGTTCTTATTTGTATGAAAACTACTATGGACTATTGTGTCTGGAGTATTTTGGAAAGCAAGGATGGCACTAAAAAGCACCAAAGTGTCGATCACCTCAAGCAAGCGCTGCGCCGGGAATGAGTCAAAATACCGCAGAGCAACATTCGGGCAGCGTGTGACGGTTTCATTGGCCGTTTGAAGGCCATCGTTTGTCGGAATGGTGACCAATTCGAAGAAATCTGAACTTATTCTAAAATTTGATGCTATTTCCAATATATTTCACTGAATCCTCAAGAGAGAAAATCTGCCGGCGAAAAAAAGTTGCGTGGCGAGTGAAAATTGATAAGGAGCCACCGGTAGACTTTTTTTTAACGACTTTAGACTGACATATGGAAAGAACTGAAAAAATTCGTGGAAAAATACCATTTAAATGAAAAGCGCTATATGTTGATATACGACGACGAGGACTGCATATTTTTCGTCATAGGCTGTAGATACGAAATTTAAAACAATTCCATTGAATAATGTCACTAATATCATTAAAATACCGAATGTTGGGAGGTACTGTTATATAGGAGCTATACAAAGACGTGGACCTGCATAACCATTTACGAACTTAATCTGCCCACTGGCAAAATACACATGTGCCCAAAATTTTAGCCTTATATATCAATTCATTCGAAAGATGGCGTTATTACAACGCTAACTCTACTTATAATTTTACGCTGATCAAGAATATATGTACTTCGTTGGGCCTGACATATTATTTCAAAGAGTTTCAAACGGAATGACAGCGTTAATATACCCTCCATAGTATGGTAGAGCATATAAAAATTTAACTCGAACATTTTAGCTCTGAATATAAAAAATATTAGTTTGAAAAATCAGACTTTGTTAGTTTTTGTACCTTTTATAGCACAAATTTCCAAAAATAACACCTTATCTGACATTTCGTATCAGTGCTGATCCACATGCGAAATTTGAAGATCTAAGCACAAAAATATAGAACTGCTGTTTTTAATATAATTTATTACAAATTTAAATGCAATAGTTATCTACATACCAATATTCAATATTAAAGTCCTAACCATTCCATCTGCTATGTTTAACTTTTACTACTTTATATCAACTATTATTAGGAAATTTAAATATAATACCCTATCATCGCCCTATCTTCTCATCCATATTGCCACATATATTCTATAAATTAACATTTCACTTGAATTCGATTCTATTTGTTAGTA